GTCAACACCCCCTTTTTTAATGAGATTTGTACTGTGATTCAGGTGGGAGGGGTTACCTTTCAGATGGTTAGCTCTGCATTGGGCGGTTCAAACCCCCACCCCCATCTCAGGCTCAGTCCTACCCATCTGCATCCCCTCCTGGCCTTGTCCCAGGCTCTGCGACACTGTGATGCACCCCCTCTCTTCTGGGCCGGGGGTGGAGGGGAGGTCTCTGACAGTGGTCCTGTGCCCGGCAGGAGGACGCGGAGCAGCTCTACAAGAAGTGCAGGCGCTACGACCTCCTGAACAAGTTCTACCAGGCCTCTGGCCAGTGGCAGAAGGCCGTGGAGGTGGCCGAGCGGCAGGACCGCATCCACTTGCGCACCACCTATTACAACTACGCCAAGCACCAGGAGGCCAGCTCCGAGCGCAGCCTGGCCGTCAGCTAGTGAGCAGGCAGGAGGGAGGTGTGGGGTCCTGGGGGGGCATGGCACAGTCCCTTTGAGGTGCAGGGTGGGGTCCGGGCCCCGTAGGGAGCCCATGATGGGAGGAGGCACTGGGGTAAGCTTGAGGACAGTCCCCCTTCCTGAGTCCTGGAAAGAGGCTCGTCTTCCTCCAGGCCTGGAGTCAGCCGGTGTGTGCCAGCACCCTGGCAGGGCCCAACCTGCCACCAATGGGGCCCTCTTTACCCAGACCCCCCTGACCTGGGATGCACGTGCAGAGGCCCCCCGCCCCCACGCCCCAGCGCCGGCTCTCAGGGACTGAAACCTCTGTGTCCTCCAGCTATGAGAAGTCGGACACGCACCACTTCGAGGTGCCCCGGATGCTGTCGGAGGACCTGCAGTCCCTGGAGCTCTACATCAACAGGATGCGCGACAAGTGGGTGGGGGGCGAGCGGGTGGGGTCTGCCGCGGAGGAGGGGGCAGGAGGCGGGGCAAGGGGGTGAGGTGGGGGGCCGGGCTGAGCCGAGCGGCCCGCAGGATGCTGTGGCGCTGGTGGGCGCAGTACCTGGAGAGCCAGGCCGAGATGGAGGCGGCGCTGCGCTACTACGAGCTGGCGCAGGACTACTTCTCGCTCGTGCGCATCCACTGCTTCCAGGGCAACACCCAGAAGGTGGGCGTGGGGGGCGGGGGCGGGGGCGCGCCCCGGGGGCGGGCCGACGGGCCTAGGGGGGCCCAGCCTATGCCACTTGCTGCCCACAGGCAGCGGAGATAGCCAGCGAAACCGGGAACTGGGCAGCGTCCTACCACGTGGCGCGGCAGTACGAGACCCAGGAGGAGGTCCGGCAGGCCGTGCACTTTTACACGCGCGCGCAGGCCTTCAACAACGCCATCCGCCTCTGCAAGGTGGGGCCTGGGCGCACGCTCTTCCCTGCGGGCGTGGGGGTGGGGGAGTCTATAGACGGGGCCTTCGGTTGACACCACCGTTGTGTGCGTCCCGGGGTCGCCGTGACAGCGCAGAGCAGGGGACCGCAAACACCAGATGTCCCTACTCAAGTCTAAAAGCTGATTCCGTGGGGCCCGCACCCTCAGAGGGCTAGGGGAGGGTCCTGTCCCCTCCCAGCCAGCCTCTGGTGGCCCCAGACGCCCTGGGCTGGTTGTCACTTCACTCCGTGTCCTGGCCACACCCACACTGCCCCCTGGACAACACAAAGGCCCCAGCAGTTAGGACTCATCCCCTCCCTGTTTCTGGTGTGTGTGTGTGTGTAGACACAGCCCAATGGGGCCAGCACCCATCACCAGGTGCCAGCCCCACTCTTAGCTCCAGAACCAGCCCAGCATGGTGAGCCTTCCCAGCAGGCATCTCCGTCCAGATTCGTGACTACAACAGTCTGATGTCCTGCTCACAGGCTGGCCCTCACCCCCACCTCCCCACCCCCCCTGCAGGAGAACGGCCTGGACGACCAGCTCATGAACCTAGCCCTCCTGAGCTCCCCAAAGGAAATGATCGAGGTGGCTCGCTTCTATGAGGAAAAGGGGGAGCAGATGGACCGGGCGGTCATGCTGTACCACAAGGTGGGCGCCGCCCTTCAGGGGGAACCGGGAGGGTGGGGACGCACGCAAGGTCCTGCAGGGACCACTCAGACCCGGTTGGCCCACAGGCTGGCTACTTCTCCAAGGCCCTGGAGCTGGCCTTCGCCACCCAGCAGTTCGTGGCCCTGCAGCTCATCGCTGAGGACCTGGACGAGAAGTCAGACCCTGAGCTGCTGGCCCGCTGCTCCGACTTCTTCACCGAGCACAGTCAGTATGAGAAGGCCGTGGAGCTGCTGCTGGCCGCCAAGAAGGTGCCAGGACCTGCCCCCCCCTCCCTCCAGCCGGCCCGCCCCCCCTCACACCATGCAGGACAGCTGCCCAGTCAATGCCCTTACCATCAGGGAAGCTGCCCCCTCCCTAGGTGGACTCCCTCTTTCCTGGGAGGGTGGGGCCATCAACCCCTGCAACCCAGCCCGCATCTGGGCCCCCACAGTACCATGAGGCCCTGCAGCTGTGCCTGGAGCAGAACATGACCATCACTGAGGAGATGGCTGAGAAGATGACCGTGGCCAAGGACTCGCCAGAGCTGTCGGAAGCGGCGCGGCGGGAGCTGCTGGAGCAGGTGGCCAACTGCTGCATGCGCCAGGGCAGCTACCACCTGGCCACCAAGAAGTACACACAGGCTGGCAACAAGCTGAAGGTGAGCGCCGCCAGGGGCCAGGCCTGCCTCGCGGTTGTCTGCCCATGCCGGGCACACCAGCTAGCACCTTCCGTTCCTCCTGCCCCACCAAGCTGGCACCCGCACCCCACCTCGCCCCACCCCAGCCAGTCCAAGGCCTTGTACTGACCACCCACGGTCCCTGCCCAGGCCATGAGGGCGCTGCTCAAGTCCGGGGACACAGAGAGGATCGTATTCTTCGCGGGCGTGTCCCGGCAGAAGGAGCTCTACGTCATGGCAGCCAACTACCTGCAGTCTCTGGACTGGCGCAAGGAGCCCGAGATCATGAAGAACATCATCAGCTTCTACACCAAGGGCCGGGCCCTGGACCTCCTGGCTGGCTTTTATGATGCCTGTGCCCAGGTGCCCACCCTCCCAGGGGACCGGGATGGAGGGGCTTCTGGGGGGCGTGCCACAGGGTCTGAGCGTCCCTTCCACGCAGGTGGAAATTGATGAGTACCAGAACTACGACAAAGCCCACGGCGCGCTGACCGAGGCCTACAAGTGCCTGTCCAAGGCCAAGGCCAAGAACCCCTTGGACCAGGAGGCCCAGCTGGCCCAGCTGCAGAGCAAGATGACACTGGTGAAGCGCTTCATCCAGGCACGCAGGTGCGCCCGGCCAGCAGCTTCCCAGCCTCCTAGGGGGGCCACTGGGGCGGGGGTACACGCTCTCTAGGTGAGCTTGTTCCAGAAACACTGATGCAATCTGGGAGAAAAGTGTGTCAGCTCTGGGCATCAGCAGGACCCGTCCCTGCTCAGGGACATACAGGGATGATGGTCCAAGCACCCCCAACCCTCCTTCCAGGCTCCGGCTCTGCTTAGCAGCCCATGTGAGGCTGTCTTTTCCCAGCCCTTTAGCCACCTTGCTGCGTCCAGGCCTGCCCCGCCCCATCCAGACCTCACCTGTCCCCCGACAGGTCTCCATCTCCCCAGCTCTGGGCTCAAAGCCCTGCTGGTTGTGCCTTAGGGTCCCTGGGCCCACAGGATGACCCACACACACACACACACCTGTCTCCTGGAAGCCACACCTCCAAGTCAGGAGACCCTTAGCTGGGCAGCACGCAGGGCTCAGGGTGAGGGCTCATGGAACCTCTGCCCACAGGACCTACGCTGAGGACACCACGGAGGCTGTGCGGCAGTGCGAGCTGCTGCTGGAGGAGCCGGGCCTGGAAAGCATCGTCCGCGTTGGGGACATCTTGGGTTTCCTGGTGGAGCACTTCCTGCAGCAGGGGGAGCACCAGGCGGTGAGACTGGGGCTGCCGGCAGGTCCTGGGGGTGCCACGGGCAAGCACCACCTGGGTTTGGGGGCTCTTACTTGTTTAGAAACTTTCTCATGCTGGGAGGGCATTTGCTGACAGATTTTTGTGGGGGACACAGGTTTGCAACCCACTTGCTAAGACAGCTGGGGGCTATATTGCTGGGTCACAGCTTTGTAAGAAATTGCGGGACTTTTTCAAAAGCGGTGGCATCATTGGCACGGCCACTGGCCGTATGTGCAGGTTCGTCACTTGGCCTCTTTGTAGGCACTTGGCATTGTCTGTGATTTCTGTTTCCGCCATGGTGAGGGGCCTGTAGTGGTTCTGATTTGCCCTTCCCAGGATAACCAAAGGGGCAGGGCATCTCAGCCTGTGTTTTGTTGACCAGCAAACATGAAGAGATCTTTGTGGATAATGACCCTTAGCCCCTTTGTCGACTTCAGAAATCTATCTATTCTCTGACCATAAAAGCCTTTCGCTCAACGCTTTGTTCTGCATATATCTAGACAAGCGGTTCTCAACCTGCGGGTCACAACCCTTTTGGGGGTCAAACGACCCTTTCACAGGGGTCGCCCAATTCATAACAGTAGCAAAATGACGGTGATGAGGTAGCAATGAAAATAATTCTATGGTTGGTGGGGGGATCACCACCACATGAGGAAACTGCATGAAAGGGCCGCGGCGTGAGGAAGCTAAATAGATTAACGCGTTTCTAGGTAGATGATGTGCACCAATCTTCTCACCGGCATCTTCGTAAGAGGCACTGGGCACCGAGGCTCAGCAGACACGCTCCCACCCGACTGCCACCGCAGTCGCAGCTTTCCTATGCCAGTTTGTCTTGGTCTTCCTTTTGGCTTGTGGGTCTTGCTGTCTTGAGCAAGGGTGCCCATTTTGCCTTTCACAGGACCTACTCTTGTGGGAGACAGACGGGGCTCCCTACTCCTGTGCAGAGTTAGTCTCGAAAGCCCACAGGGGCAGCTCTACCCTGTCCTAGGGCTGCCGAGTCGGCGCCGATCGGCTGGCAGTGAACTTGGTTGTTTGGTCGGCTCCCCTCAGCGTGTCATTTCCACCTCGCCGTCCGCGCTCTCGCCATCCTCGTACCTGCCTCTACCTTCTTGCCATTGGCCACGAGGTTTGGCTTCTTTCCCTGGCGTCTCTGCTAATTTCAGCATCCGAGTCGACTCTGGTTCAGTGGACGAGTTTATTTTCGGTACCTTTCCCTGCTTCGTGGCATCACTGTCGCCTGGGACAGAGGTACTCAACCAAACTTTTCAACTCGATGGGGTGGAGCCTGCACCTCCTGTAGCTCCCCCTCTGCTCCTTCTCCCCATTACTTACCACCATTCTGTATGCCACTGTGCCCTGCCACCCCACCCACCCCTAACTAGGGCACATTTTGTCGTCGTTTTCAAAGCTCTTGGGCATTTCCTTACAGGCGAATTGATTCCCATCTGTTCATTTGCCCGACCCCTTGGGCACAGCTCTCACTGCTACTCTAGTCTGCCCCGCCAGTTCTGACGTCCGGCCTCACCGGCAGGGTTCTGTGACTGGTCCTTTCTCTGCTGTGGATCAAGTTTTCCTGTTCTTCGGCCCAGTCACTTGTCGGCACACCCTGGACACTGTGACTCACCCACTGTAGAGCCTCTGGACCCTGCGATGCTTCCCTGCTGAGCACGGCGCTCCTCTGCTGTTCTCTGTTCTCGTGGCCAGGCGCCTTCAGGTCGGCCCGGTTCAGCGGCTGACGGGCAAACCTGCCTCACACGGGTTCTTCTGTTTGAGCCCGTGGGTGCGTCCACCGGGTGGAGGGCCTTCCTCTTTTCCACTGCCAAGCCCGCCGTCTTTCTCCAGGGACTGGGCTCTCCTGGTGACATTTCCAAAGCACAGGAGACCAAGTCCCACCATCCTTGCCTCTAAGACACGTTCTGCTTGGACTGCTCGTTCTTCGGCAACACAATCCCACTGCCTCAGTCCCTCCTCATTCACCGTTTGTGTCAGTCGGAAATCAGTGTCACACCAACCCTTGCCCTGGCGCACAGTGGACAGCTGCCCAGCGAGATCCCTGCTCACCACCTTGTGTTTTTGCCCTTCTTCTTGGGTCTCTCCTGCCACCACGTGGCTAGCACCTGGCTAACCACGTATCTGGGCAGAATCTGCGCTAGACATCGGCGCTGCCCCCTTCTACAGTCTTCTCTCATGCTCAGACTACGGCCCTCAAAGCCAGCAGTTTAGGGTTCCCATGTGACTTCTCACTGCTCAGGATACACCTGTCCTAACAAAGTGGAAACTGTCCCAAATCCCCTTCTTCTGAATGTGGACGGCCCCTCCCCCCAGCCCTGCAGCTTAGAGGTGTTGCCCCTTGAAGAGGTCACTGCCACAAGGTCCTCCTTGGTCCTGGCAGTCACGTGTCTGTGCATAGCAGCAGACATCCACCCCACCCTCTCCCCTCCAAGGACCCTCTCACCAGCCCTGCCAAAACCCAGGGGCCTGCAGCAGGTCTCCACCCGCCAGCTGAGCACCCCGCCCCGGCCCTCTTGTGAAGCCAGTGGGGGTGACCCCAGGGACCAGCGTTCTCTCCCTGTGCACCCGTTAATGGCAGATTAGGGTTAGACATGTTGCTGGGTGAATGTTAGTCTCGCTGGGCTGCTGCTTCCAAAATGCAATTCCAGGGAACGTGGCTATAAAGAGCTTTTCCTCCCAGCCTGAGATCAGAAGATACTCTTCCAGGTCCCTACACACCTCCCCCCACCCCGGGCCCTTTCTCTTGTGATAAAAACAAAATTGGACCAGACACCCAGGCTGCACCTATGGGATTCAAACACAACCGTGACACACTGAGGAAGTACCAGCATGCATTCTCTTCTGGGTAGGGGGGTCCTATCTCCCTGGCTCACACACACATAGCCAATCCCCAACCCCCTTCTCAGAGCATTACTGGCAGAGGTCTGGACAGGCTTGTGGCTTTACAAAGTGCTTTTGGTGACCAGCCTTCCTTCTGGAAATGTCTTCTGTGACCTATTTACAAAACAGCCTGGGTGCTAAGGGACCTAGGGATGAGGCCCTGCCTGCCCTCTTGACCCAGCCGCTTATCCTGGTCCTGTCTCATTTCCTGCCCTGATCCATGTCCCACATATTCCTGAATTCCTTCTGCAGGCTGCCCCCAACACAGCTCCCCCTTAGCAGTTATTCTCCCACCAAGAGTGCTTCTACCAGGGAAAGGGAGGAAACAGAGGGTGCTCACCACGGGAGGGGCTGGGCCAGGGCTGGATTTTGCTAGTGAGGGGTGGGGGTGGTGCCAGTTTATGCAAATAGCGGTAGACTAATTAGGGAAAAGGGCAGGAAGAGCATCAGAGTCATTGGGTTGTTGAAGCTCCAGCTGGCAACGTTTGGTTGGGTGTCTTTGCCACATGCCGACAGTAATGAATCGGGCGTCAATTGGTCCCTGCATTGGCTCAGATGATGATGAAGTTGGGAGAGGGCTTACAGGCTTCTTCACCGCCCTAACCCACCCATCCCCAAGCCTGTGACCACCCTTCACTAGGGCACCTCCACCCCGCCTCGGGACTCTTCAGGGGTACAGCAGGGTGTGTCTGAGACCCTCTTCCAGAAGGACGAGGTCAGTGTGTGCTCATGCAGGAGGGGCAGGTTGGTCTATGAGGCTCAGCTCTGTACACAGTCCTCCGTGGCATGTCTAAGTCCCAGCCCTTGAGCTCCGTGGTTGGAGCTCTCGGCTGCAAACCCACCAGCTGCTCCCGGGGGAAAGCTAGTGTGCAATGACGGGGAGATGCATCTGAATGAGGGTCCCTGAGACCAGGAGTTCTTCAGGGGCTCTGGAGCCCCTCACGATTGACCCCCATCTTCACCTTGCACTCCTGGCTCTAGTCTAGCTCTCACGGTCAGAACAGTAACTTCGATTTTGTCATCTCTAGATACACAGACTCTACCTCGGGATGAAGAGCCACTAGGTGTGCTGGGCACATCCTGAGGGGACAGCAGTGCCCTAGGGGGGCAGCCTGATGTTCCACACCTGCTTGGTGTGTCTCCTAGGCAGGAATGCATGCCCCCAGGTGTCGGTATGGGCCCCAGGTGTCAGCACAGCGCACAGGCGCCAGCCTGTCCTTGCAGCTGCGTGTGGCCCGGCAGACCTGGGTGGTACAACCCTGGGTTATCTTCAGAGAGCACAGCGAGTCAGGCCTCCTGACCATACTGCTGCCCTGTCTGATGCAGGCCTACAAGTACCTGGAGGAGATGCGCAAGAGGCTGCCAGCGGCCAACCTGCCCTACTACGTGAGCCAGCGCACTGCGGATGCTGTGCACCAGGGCCTAGGCCTCCCCCTGACCCGCCTGGGCCCTGGCTGTGTCGCCCACAGCAGTGCCGAGGACCACGGGGAGGATGAGGTGGTGGAAGAGGTGGACAACGACTCCTGACCACCCCTTCCAGGACCTGTGGTCGGGAGCGGCAAACACCTGACCTGATGGGCAGACACACGCTTTCACCACACGCTCGTCTTGGATATGGACACAGGGCGGGGCCCAGGGGCTTTCCCTCCCCCCCACCCCGACCCAGCTAGAGATATAGGGCATTCTAGGTCATCCACCCAGGGCTTCCACCCTCAGGCCTTGGTGGGAAGGTGCCCACCTGGGAGCTGGCTTTACTTTCCCATGACATTATCTGAGCTGCAGGGCCTGAGAAGCTTCTAGAACTTGAACCAGTGGCACAGCTGAAAAGCATAGCTGTTCTGATCACTGTCACCCAGGTGCCAGGACAGCTGTGGGTTCCCAAGGGCCCTCCTTCCACCCTCGGCCACCACCATAAAACCACTTTTCTACGACTGCAATAAAGTATATTTTGTCCAAGGCTGTGTGCCACCCCTTCCCTGGCTCTTAAGGCTCCCCAGGCGGAACTAGGGCCAGCCCAGCCAAGCGGCCTGAGCCCAGAAACCTGGGGGGGGAGCTCCTGTGACCAACACCTCCCTTGCAGAGTCCAGTGGGCAAGGGCGGGTGGAACATGGGCCCACGAGGGGTGTGGGACTGGGCAGCAGTGCCCCCTTGTGGATCCTCTGGGTTCCTGCCCAGCCCTGATCTAAGCGGCAGTGCCCAGGTACGCAAGGTAGGCAGGCTCTGGCTACCACTGGGTTCCTGCAGGTCTTGAGCCTACCACTCGGCTGGCTGGGCAGGCACTAGGTCAGCTCTGTCCAGGGCTGAGGCTAACCCAGGTCAGCAGCCAGGGTTTGGCGGCCTCCGCAAGCCGGGGTCCCACAGGCTGTCCCAGCGAGGGGCTAGGGCGGACGAGGGAGCAGCGGGTCCCTGAGCTTCTCAGTGAGCAGCAGCGCCCGAACGGCCAGTGCCCTGCAGTCCCCGTCAGGGTCCTCCTCAGCCACATCTGCCGGGCAAAGGAGTGGGCAGGCCTGTTGGGCACAGCAGAGTAGGACAGTCTGCAGACACCCCTCCAGAGCCCAGCCTACCCCAGGGTGTTCCCTGGGAGCCCAGGCAGGAGCCAACACAGAGCTACAACCTGGGACCACCATGAGGAAAGCTCCCTGCCACTACCGAGGGAAGCGCTGGGGACCCTCCCCCTGATAAACCAACCTCCTCCACTCCAATCCACATCCAGGGCCCCTCCACACCCCAGTGCCTCCTATAACTGCTACCAAGGTTTCCAAGGACCACCCCTCGCATCAGCAGAACCAAGCGCCCTGGTCAAGGGGTCCAGACACCCCCCACTGCCCTCTGGGGGCCGCGTGCACGCCTCACCGGCCAGCCAAGCCCGGGCCTCCAGAAGCTCTTCCAGCAGTTCCTCCAGCAGCCGCTCAGCGGGCACGCTCAGCAGGACAGACGCCATGGCGGACAACAGGCCCTGGCGCACATAGCTGGGGGGGGAGGGCCAGGTGTGAGGCAGTGCTCCCCCAGCTGCCCGCCAGGTGCAGCCCCACCCTTAGACCCCAGAGACAACTCACGTGTCGGTATGGAAGCGCAGGGCCCACACAAAACCCAGCAGTGCCTTGGCCATGGGCACAGCCACCTGGGGACAGTGGGCAGGACGTGGGAACGTGAGGACATGGGACAAACCAGAGCATCCTGCCCAGCCCCACGCCCTGGGGGACACAGGTGACAGAGGCGGGTCTCCCACTCACGGTGGTGTTCACAGCCAAGTACATCAGGGACCCCAGGGTGCGGGTCAGCTGGCCCAGGACCAAGTGGTCATTGCCCAGAAGGTCGAAGGTCACCAGAGGCCTACAGCATAGAAGCCAGTGGTGGGCACATAGGGCTAGTTCACTTGTGGAAGCCCGTAGCACAACCCCCAGCTGTGGGAGCCCATGGCCCCAGCCCCCCACCTATTGTAGCCCATGGCCCACACTCAGAGCCCCCACCTGTCAAAGCGCTGGATGAGTGGGAAGAAGAAGCAGCCGGCCACGGCGCAGAACTCGTTGGGGCCGCATGCTGGGGGTGGCTTGAAGGGGCACTGTCGAGACGAAACACTTTCTGAGGACAAGCCGCCGCCGCCGTCATGATCCCACAGCAGGCTGGTGCCTCAGGGGTGGGGAGTGGAGGACGGACGTGCCTGCAGGTGAGCTGTCTGGCCCACCCCCACTGTGACAGCCCACTGTCCTGTCCCTCGAACAGCAGCCCACCTGGGAGAGGCGCCGGGTCTTGCTCCTGACTCGCTCCTCCACCACTGCCCGCCAGTCAGCAGGTGGCTCTCCACTGGGTGGGGAGGCGGGTAGGGTTCGCGTGCCTTGGCCAGCAGGTACTGCGGGGGACTGCAGGGATGCTGTGCTGCTGCGCCCCGGCCGAGACAGCTCCTGGGCAGCCAGAGTCAGGACCTGCAGGAGAGACGGGCAGCTCCACTGTCCTCCACGTTCTGGGTCACATACACGCACTGAGGCTGAGACCGGAAATGGAGGTGGGGCTGGGCGGGCCTGGCCCTCTCCAACTGTGCCTACTGGTTGGCCCTAGAGGGGGCAGGCAGATGCCTCCCCTGGACCAGGCTCCTGCTGCCCATCTCCCCAGGGCCACGACCACTCCTGGGAACCCACAGTAGAGGAGCAAAGTCAGGTGGTGGCTCCTGGTGACAGATGGGCAGCTAGCCTAGTGTCCCACAGTCCCAGGACGGGGTCTCAGGAGCTGGGGCTCCTGGGGCCAGGCTTCCCACCTGCATGCAGGCCTCACACAAGACTGCCTTGAACCTGTGGCGATGAAAGCCCCTGGCTCTTAGACCTTAGGGCTACAGCTAGGGGGCAGGAGTGAGCCCCTGTAGACGCGGGCACTTGGCACAGCAGAAGAGAGACCTGGTGACCCACATCAGGGATCCCCAGGGGGCACAGTGCCGTCCTGCCACAGCGCTCACTCATGGGGGGGGGGGGGCAGCCAAGAACCAAGGCCAGCTGACTTGCCCTGCACGATGACCTGGCCCCACACCCAGGTGCAGGTGCGCCCTGCTCACCTCCAGGATGTCCAGGCGCTGGCGCAGGCTGTAGTTCAGGGCGTAGAACTGCGCCGCCAGGTACTCTGCCACCTGCACCAGCACACGGCAGGCTGTCGGCCCGGCCCAGGCAGGACAGCAGGCCCTCACCCACCCACCAGCACACAGCACTCACCCTGGCTGGGTCTGTGACAGTGACGGTGACCAGGGCTCCTCTGCGCAGCCCTTCGAAGCCTACCACGCATGTTTTCTCTTCCAGGTGCAGCAGCACCTGGGCCAACTCCACGCTCACCTACACAAAGCAGCCTGCTCAGGGCCCCCCTGCCCCGCTGGTGGTGCTCCCAGAGGGAGTGGCCCCTTCTTAAGATCCCAGCTGCCATCACTTCCATGCCTCACCCACACCAGAACCCTCCTGACCTGTGGGGCACCTGCTCACCTCCCTGGTGGCTGCAGGACTGCGGTAGACCAGGCCTTCGAGTGCCCGCAGCGCTGCCTCCCAGCGCTCCCAGTCCTCTGAGGTCCGCAGGGCTGTGCAGAACCACAGGCGCCAACTGCCTCAGGACAGGGCAGGGCAAGGAGTGGGGGGGGAGGGGGAGGGAGGGAAGGAGCCAGGACACCCCACCCCTAGGCTCAGAACCCACTCGCTCAGAACCCAGCTTCCAGCCTTGGTCGGCCAGGGGAGGGGTGAGCAAGGGAAGGGTGGGGTGCACACAGCCAGGTCACCTTCCAGGCAATCCCGAATATACACAGGTGCCTTGCTGCTCCTTAGCTCCTTGTCCCCTGACATGTCGTAGGGGACAAACTCATCGTCACTGTGAAAGAGACCAAGGACACAGGTGATCCCTGAGCAAGATCAGCAGAGCGGGGGACGGGGGGGACAGAGGGATGGGAGGTCATCTGGGGAGATCCCAGAGGGCAGGGGAAGAGCGACACGCACCTGTCTAGGTCGGAGTCTGATCTCTCAGGCTGCACAGGGGACGTGCCCGTGTCCCCGCTCTCATTGCCAGAGGTTTCTGTGGCAACTGACTCAGCAGACAGGCTTTGGGGAGACACAGGGCAGGGCGCCCATCAAGAACCCTCTGCGGTTCTGTCAACCCCACCAGGCGCCCAGGCAGCACCTCCCCCACCCCACGTCATGGCAGAGGTGCCTTGCAGAAGCAAGCACGTGCCCTAGCCCAGAAGAACCTCACCCCGATGCGGCGGGACCACCGTCAACTGGCTGGGGAGCCACCAAGGCCAGCAGCTCTCGGGTCAGCTCGTCTTCCTCGTACTGGGCGTGCATAGAGAGGCGATCAGCCCAAGGAGCAGGGCCCGTGCGCTCGTCCCGCAGATGCATTTGTGACCCGGGAGGGCACGCGGACACGTGAGTGAGCTTCCCCAAGACAAAGACTGCGCCCCAAGGGAGCAGAGCACCTGGGCCCAGGCTGACCAAGCCCATGCACAGACCACGTGGGCCAGCTGGGGGAAGGAAGGATGAGGCCTGCCCACTGTGGCCCAGGGCCTGGTGCTGTGCATCAGTGGGAAGGCAGGCCAGGCTGTCCATGCCAGGGGGTGGGCAGCTAACTTGCTTGTTTCAGAGCCCAGCCCAGACATATCCAGGCAGGCATACCTCGTCCCCAACCCCATAGGTATCTGCTCCATGGGGTCCCAGCCCAGGAACCCCACCAGGCTGTGGGGGCCCTCAAACCTACCACCTAAACCTGCCTTTCAATTTCAGCACTGAGCCCTGTACCAGCTTGCAGGTCTGCTGCAGGCCTGGGAGCAGCCTTACCTGGAACTTGAGGGGCGGGCCCTCGGGGTGTAGGCGGGCACTGAGGACCTCGGCCACCACCATGCCCAAGCGACGCACAGGCGTCAGGCTGCTGTCCAGGTGGCTCTGCACCCCTGCCATCATGCTGGTCAGCAACACTGGAAGCATCAGGTGGCCCTAAAGCTCAACACATCCCCAAGGACCCCTCTGGTATGGCCCCAAGCCCAGGTGCCCCCAGGCCGATGGCTCACCTTCGTGGCTGTCCTGCAGCTCCGTCTCCTGCAGGTGTGCCAGGCACACAAGGATGGCCTTGCCCACGTGGTGCTGCTGGGGCAGGGGCACGTGCTTCACGGCGCTGCTGCTGCCCCACGTCTCCAGGAGCTCCTTCAGCACCTGTCAGGCCAGCCCTGACCTGTCAGCACCAGTGTCCCCTTCTCCTGTTCCCGCCCCTGCCCCTCACAGTGATGTTCATGACAGCAAACCTGCAGGAGGAGAGGGCGCCGCTGGCTGTCTGATGCCAGGTAGCCCAGGAGGCTCTGCAGCATGGGTGTCTGCAACAAAGTCAGGGCTCTGTGTGAGGCAGGCGCTGCGGCCGGCCGGGGTCTCCAGGGAACCTCTGCTCCAGGCACAGGGGACAGAGCGTGGCCCTGTGAAGAAGACTCCACCCACCCAATCAGTGCTCACGGGCTGGGCCTTCCAAGGGGCCCACAATGCCCCTACACCTCTTCTCCCCACACATTCCCATAGCATTGCCATGTTCTCAGTCCACCGCCCCCATGTTCACAGCCCCCAGTTCTCACAGGTCTCCTCACACCCTCAGAGCGCCGCTG